AGATCAGAGGCGCAAAAATCGGAATTCTGCCGGCATTCTCAATTTTAATCATCGGGAATCAAGTTTTATGCAATAAAAATATCATATAAGGAATCAGCGTCCCAAACTACATCGAATGATGTACTTTGTTAGTCTATCCTACTACTTTGATTTTTTTCGAATTTCTACGTTGAAAAATTCCTGAGATTTTCACCGAAAAATAAAAATAAACAAAAAGTTTCGAAATATATATCATTCGACGTAGTTTGGGACGCTGATTCCTTATATGATATTTTTATTGCATAAAACTTGATTCCCGATGATTAAAATTGAGAATGCCGGCAGAATTCCGATTTTTGCGCCTCTGATCTAGAAAATATGAACTTTTCCAATGACAAAGCACGATGGAAGAAAGAGAGGTATGTACTTTTAAAGCTCGTTTAATGGCGCTTCTAATGAAGTGCAAAAATTGGCTCCATCTTTCCAAAGAAAAAACTAGATAGGTTGGTGAATTGTTTCTGAGTTTTTTATAGGAGGAGTTCAAGACTAATTTTTTTTTCATTTTCTATATTCGTATAATATACCATTCGATTCTGCTTTGTTCGCGGATCAAGAATATTATCTTATTTTTACAAAAAGACGTAATGAAAATGAGAAAAATCAATTTTAAGACCAAAAATGATCAATAACATATACGAAGCTTTTTCAATGTTGAATTTTTTTCTGATTGATGCACTCGGCATTGAAGACTCAAATTGTGTTGCTAGATAGAGTTAAGTATCAGGCAATTTTTGACAAAGTTTGGCGGCGGTACTGTATTTCTTTGATCTGCTATAGAAGTTTTAGTGAAACGTACGAAAAATGAAAATTTGAAATTTTGCTCGAAAAATATTTTTTTCTCAAACAAGAACCGTATTCTTTTAATTCTTTTATCGCCAGTTTATAGCGCGTTTTCCACTCTACAAAATCCTGTATAAACAATATCTTCACTATACCTCCTTACTGAGTTGAAAAGCTTTTTTCATCTCATGTCAGTAACTGGTCAAACTTTTTAAAAGATTATTTTTTGAGGAACGATCATAGTTTCAAACCAAAAATCAAATATGGTTAGATGCGCAATAAAATTCTCTATCGAACCTGCTATTCAGCTTTTTGATACTTTTAAATTTTTAAATCCGGCAGGGACCTTTAAGTCTTGCGCTCCTCAAACCCCTACGTTTGTTTACTTTTCGATTCTCTATCGAATGACGTTTCGCCCAGATTTCTATCTCTTATTTCAGCTGAGTTATTGAAACTTTAAAAAAGGTTCAGTTTTTAAAAATTCAAATTTAATTTCAAAATTTAAATTTTGAGTTACAGACTTGAAGTTTTTTTCAAAATGAAGGAAACTCTGTCCTGAATCCAATGGTGACCTTACATTTGTTCCATTTTCACCCACTTTCTTTTAAAATGCATTTTATTCATCATATGTAGGTCAAAAACCATGGTTTTCTGAAAACCCTAATTGCGAGCATTTTGGACTAAAGCGTTCGCTACACAAAAGAAAGAACTTGGCCTCAAACCGTTAAGTGTCGAGTTTCAAAAGATTTACACGAGCCATCTCAGAGTTAGCCTAGACCAACTTTCTCCTGTTACACGCCTATTGTTTACGAGCACTTTTACTATAGAAAGGGAAAGTCAGACAATGCAGACACGTAAAACAATTGAAACGTTTGTTGTTATTCTTAGTAAAGCTCTGAACAGACTGAAACTGACGACCGTATGGTGTTTGTCCTTTTTAGCTATGTAAGAGCGCACAAAACAGATTTGAAAATATATCTAAAGCAATATTCTTTTGAATCGGATCGCACGTTAAGAGTGAGGAGTAGCTATGTGAGCAAATTCTGTCAAGTACAGGCTTGTTTTTTTGGGGTGCTTCAGATCGATCATCAAATGTAGTCGTTTCCATATCTGTTTTAGTTGCAAACAAATTCTGATGAGTTTAAAGCAGAAACTGGCGAACAATTTCCAACTGAAGTAGTAAGTATAAACTCGTGATTCGGTTCCCTCAAGTACAGGTATTCATAATTCTGTTTCTTTTAGATATTTAATGGGGAAGATTTAGTTCATCACCACGCGAGAGATCATCAACAGTACGGCCGTGATTTGTTAAAAAAATTGTTTTCAGTTAACGAATTAGCATCGTCAATTTTACTCCCGAATGATAAATATAAACGACCACATTTAGATATTGCCAGAATGTCTGTTTTTAAAAGTAAGACACAATAAACAATTGTATACATTGACCTATTTCTCTTCTTCGTTGAATGTCTTTGTAAAAAAAGCCTTGATAGTTTAATAGATAACTTTAAAAAGGTGGAAATCGTTTTAAATCTATTTCCTTCGACTAGTACAACTGAACGCAACAATTGCGATACTTGAAGCGGAAGCAGGAAAGGGAAGCAATCGAATGAGTTAACAAGTTTCTTCACGGAAAGATTAGCACATGAAAGCCTTCATAGTATTTTGTTTCGCAGCTACCGAGTTCTAGAGGGCTGAAATTTGGAATTCAATTGAAGAGTTCACAAAACCAAACAAATTTTTTGAAACAGTCCTTTGTACTCCATTACATTCTCTAATCAAAATACATTCTCTATTTCGTTTCATTTTCTAGATCTTCCAGATTTCTTTCTTTTCAGATGCTGTCCGAACGAAATATAAAATAAGTGCACAAAAATGGGATGAATTTTTCCAAAAATGTATGCATAGAACGTTAACACAATGCTTATGTGATATTCGAAAAAAATTAAAAGCACAACAACAATTACAACAAGCAACAGATGAACAACAAGCAACAGATGGACAGCAACCACAACAAGCAACTACCAATTAACAGAAGAAAAGATTCAACAAATTTTATGGCATTTTCTTTCATATATGCGTGTTAATCATGCGTGTTGTTATTTTTGTTATATATATATTTGTCGTTGTTTTTGTCACTTAAAGAAAAGATGTTTTCTCTTATACAGTTTAGTCTACGTTTTTTTCGTAGTTTAGAGTTTTTTGTTTCTTGGAAAAGATTTGGTTGTTTTTATGCATCAGAAAAGAACGGTGCATGAAAAATAAAGAAAACACAGCAACATAAAAAATAACACAGCAAATTCAGGCAAAGCATCATATGAAACAGACGGACGATCGCTACATATTAAGTTAAGCTGCTGGTCAAGTTGTCAAATTACCAGATGAAATCCTGTCAAATCCTATAGGATACCTTTCAGTCCTATTGTAGGATCTGATAGGATCCAATTGTAGGATCTGATAAGATCCGATTGTACGAATCCTACATGGTTTCCACCACTAAGATTGCCTACGTATTTCCTATAAGATCCTATCGGATTTTCATCGGATCATATCCGATCCTACAAGATCCTATAATAGGATGCTATAAGATCTTTTAGGATCCAACTAAGATCCTATCGTAGGATTCATTGACCTGGGCAGTTTACATACCAACACTTCGCATATAATTCGTTTCGCTACTTCTACATGAGAGCGACTTTTTATGGTTGAGTTAGATACGGATACAGAGATGATGGATGTGAAATTTTCTGATACTTTTTTTGCTTCAGTAACAAATAATCTTCGCTGTTGTGTATCTCACGTGTCTCTTGTTGAAGAACAAAATAGAGCTCTAGCGTGTGGCGCTTTATCTTCTTCCTTTTAATGTCGCATACGGAAATCTGTATGTGGACATAAGGACACATTCAGGAAATCTAATTTAAAAAAAGAAAAAGAAAAACTAGTATAACTACGTAGCACACTAGCACTGCCAAAAAAAAGTGCTATTTAATACTGAATTAACGAAATCGTGGCGTTATACCAATCGTATATAAAACAGAAGTTATACAATTGGCATAAAAATTCGTTTTCTTACACCAATCTGATCAGTTCAGCAGCAAGTCAACTGTTTTTTTCTAGATACTGTAAAATATTTGATATATTGTACTGCATCGATTTTTCACTGCATGGAGTCGGAACAACTTATATATCAAATAGTTTCGCTGTGATCAGTCACACAGTTGAAGCTGTTAGTGTACTTACGCCAATACCTTCTGTTCTTTCAACTCTTACACCAATGGCGTAAGTATTTTTCGTTTATACCAATATTGGTGTAAACATTTTTTTTTATATCCATTGGCATAAAATTGAGACACTTATACCATTGGCATAAGTGCCATTGGCAGAAGTACGATTGGTATAACGCCGCGACACCGAATTAAAGAGACAGTCCACGACTTCATCGAGAAAAGCTGTTAGCCATTGGATCTTAGATTTCGCTCAAACTACTTGCGTACTCGATTCTACATGATAAACTGTGATTATGAAAGCATTTTTTCGTTTCCAAACCCTTTTCTTTCTGACCCGCATTCCTCCCTTAAAAAGCACTATCGTCGATATTTTCAATTTTTTGAAGTCAAGTTATGTCCAAAAACTCTAAACTACGTCTCATTGGAAAGCCTACATAACACTACATCAAAATATGTATTTGATGTTCAAAGAACTTAAGTCTTCAATTTGATAACAGAGGATTTCCCGAAAAATCAAAAGTTTTGAAAACCTGAAATTTTTCAATTTTGGCATAGCTTTGGGAGCAAAACCCAATCAAACGCCAAACTTGTCTCCAAGATAGAGCAGAGAATTTGCAACAAGGTAAACCAAAAGAATTTTGAAAAGAAAATGCAGAAGCTAACTGACGAAATTTAGGGAACAACTGCGTTTGATACGGAAAAAAAATGCAAAAAGTCACCGAGTATTTTCAATTTTTCGTCATGAAAACAGTAGTTTGAAACAAAAAAAGATCATATTTAAAATCAGCGTCAAAACCTGAACTGAGTGACGTATAGTGGAAGAATTTTACGAAGAAAAAATATTTTCGAAAGAAATTGTCTGTTTCTATTTTTTCACACGTTCTTTTGGCAAAATGTTTTTTTATTGAAAAATCGACTAACAGCTTTTACTGATAATGCCTGATTTTCTCATGGGCTCTCTCTTAAAACTAAAGAGACTGTCATCTATTCACTGTGGTGTTATCTTAGTTGGTACTTTCTCTTCTGCAAGTTAATCATTGGACTACAGGCCTTAAATCGTGTGAAGGGATAGCTGATATTGTCCATCAATTAATAAAGTTAGAAGTATCTTCTCTTATTTTGTTCATGATGAACGGACGTTAGTTGAGTTCTCTTACTAAAGCATATATTTCCTTGCATTTGAATGAGTCATAACAGTGAAGGTTGCAAAAAATTAAGAAGAATCAATATCGTATTAAGAAACAAAATGAGTAATTCAACTGCATCCTTACTGTCATCTACATCATCCCTACTGTCATCTGCATCCTTACTGTCATCTACATCATCCTTACTGTCATCTACATCATCTATCAATCCACCCGATAATCATTAATATCACTCATTAAGGATATTAGAATACAAACGATGCCACAGTAACGACTTTAAATGTTATTTAAATAAAAATCTGATAACAAAATAGTACTTAAACTGCACTCGTACGGCTTGTTTTAGAACGACGATTCCAGACAGACTTGACACAATGATTTCTTATAGTCAATGCATGTAAACCATAACATGCTGCCTATTTTTATCATATTATCCAGAAAGATTTAAAATACCTGGATTTAAATTGACCATGATAACATCCAACGGCAATAATAAGAAAAGGATAAAAGGTGTGCGTGCGAAAAGCAGAACGAACATAAACCTAGAACTATGAGGGTAGCACATAAATATTTTTCTTTTCTTTTCGACTTTGACTACCTATGAAACAAGTCGGTAAACGAAAAAATAAAATGGAGGAAGACTTTTTCTGAACACGAATTTTAAAATTGAGTATCAGCGATGGTAAGTAACGTTTAAGGAGTTGGACATTTGGTGGGTTTAAAAAAAGAAATTCTTGGATAGATAGAATTGCCAGAGCAGAAAATTAGATGACATGTTGCATCGAAGCCTACAACACTCAATAACTGCGAACAGCGTTCATTTTGTGTTTTGAGAAAATTGTATAGTTCTAAACGTATCCATTAGAAAATTAGGTGCAAGCTTCATGACGCACCAAACTTGATGAAACTAAGACGGTTTGTGCTACCTGCGCTATTGGTTGGTATATAGAAGAACATTTTGTAAATCTATGTGCGAGTTTGGAATTGGGATGTGAAGGGAACATTTACTTTACTGAACACAGCTAGCCAGAAAACGCGCAAGGAAAAAGTTTTACTTTTTTCTTAGATTTGAAAAGTCCAAAAGTCCAAAAAAGTCCAAAAAAATGTTCGATAGCACACTTCATGCAGGTTCTGAATATATGTTCATTTGAACAATAGTTTTCGTGGATTTTGATTACATTTGACTTTTCCGATGCACCACCGCTTTAGCGTAATTTTTGTCCATATATTTTTCTTAGGTTACATAAGTCCTATGACAAAAACATTTTTTCACCATTAACAGAGCATTTCGTGAAGTATATTTAAATCACTGACAAGTCAACTTCCGTTTTTTCAACGAACCATGTTCGTATCCTGGTGATGGCACTGTGTGTTGGCCGTTAAAAGGCTTGAATGCTGACCGTACGAATGCGTGTATTGCATAGACCGAACGCAAGAAAACAATGTCTATATCTAGCGGCCTCATCAGGATGTGAATATGGCTCACTAATGTCCGACTGGATGCACATTGTGCAGTCTTTGAATTCTCTTGTTAAAAGAGAGTGGTAAACAGCCAGATCAACAGTTTTTTGTCTGAGAGACGATCACATAAACAAATACTGTTCTTCGACTTTCTAGGCTAGAAATTCCACACATTCTATCTTCCCGTACGAAAACATTAAATATGAATACGAAGATTTTCGGTTTGTCCCCGAAATGAGTACAGAAATCGAATAAAACCGATAATCAAGTACACGCAAAAATTATTTATAATAACGAAGATATTTTAAAATATTACAATAGGTTGAATAAAGGTACCGCGTAATCGTGATGTCCAGATCTAAACATGTATTATTACATTATTTTCGTTACATGTTTGACCGCATGACTTCTAGGTCTGTACATGTGTTATTGGAAAATTATTTTATTCCTTCATCCAGCCCATTGTGTTTTACATTCATTCGTTTTCTTCCTGTTTCATATATATCTATGATTGTTGTCTTTTGTTGTCTGTTTTTTCCGTAAATATATAAACGTAGATATATAAATACATCTGTTTTCTCATTTTACGAAGCACTTCTAGAGGCCGTCGCGTATCGTTCACGCCATCAATTGTTATTGTTTTGTCTGTATGCTCTATTTTCATCTCTATTTTTTAATTTTTAATAAAAAGCGATTCATCTTCCAGTAACAAAGTGCTCTGATATTAGTCTCACTGTAGTGAGATATAGTTCACGAAAAGGACTGTATAATGAAATGGATTAACTCAAACGTCGAGTAGATCAAATGTCGTCGAACTTCTTTTAAAAATAATCGAGAAAAAAATGATTTGCTAAAACTAATAAATGATACACATATCATCATTCCTAAAGCAGATGTAACATGTAAGATACACAAGAAAGATATCTGGTTTCTTAGCGATCGACATATGAAGGGATTTAATTATACTGTCAGTAAGTTACATCTGAGGCAAACAAGTTGTTAATATTTTTAGGCGTAATTGTTCTGAATATCAACCATGAAAAACAAACAAATTTCATTGAAGCGTGCTCTTCTTGCACAAATATGCACACAGTTTAAAAGCCAGTGGATCCGTAACGCTGCCAATTGAAGCTTTTTGTGGACATGAAACATCAACAGAATAAGGTGAAGGCGGCGATCCGCTCAAAAATCATTTTGTC